CCTACACGAGAAACCACGTCGAGAGACAAGAGTGCATTTGAAATTAGTTAGCTTGGGCGCCTACGTGGTAAGGAGGATAATCGTTGCTGCCCAGGGGGCGCCTAAATGGATGATGTCAAATCCAATTGGATCTATGAAAAGAGAATCTCTCCCCGCCAATGTTCTTCTCAAGCCAGCCAGTTATGGCTACTTAATATGGTTTGTACGTTCATGATCATCCTGGAGATCCATGTCGAATACATTGAGACAATACATGGTCGAAAATGGGGTCTTAAGATTCTGCAAAGATCGCATTATTTCTATTGGATAGTGTCAGTTAGTAGCTACATGAAGTATTTAATTGATAAGCGCTAAGCCCTGGCTTCCTCCAATACAACCCCTTTTTTCGTGTGTGCTCACTAAACCCCGGTAATAGCGAGCAATAAGAGCCGGTATTAAGTCACGGTCGTATATAGTGTGCCACATGGGAGAATAAGTTGAAGGATGCGAATGGCTAAGAATCACGGTAGAAAACTAGCATCGCGTGAGCGGGGTGCTTGCGCGATAATCGACAGGGTGAAAAAGCTACGGATTAGATGAGAATCAATTACCACTAAGATTCACTTAGCTGGAATACAGACATCATTGGATTATCAAATCTCACATGAATCACTAGGTGACTTGGAATCTAGACGCTGCCAACAGCTGACTCATAGGTTGGACCGGCAAGCTGTTCAATTGTATTGTTCCGAAAAGTGTCGTGCGAAAACTTCAAGCACGAAGCAACATGTGCATGGCCAATCACGCAAGTCCACATTTCAACAGGTGAACAACTGAACAAGTGGAACGGAATCACTAGGAGTGGCTGGGTGTTGTTCTTATGAGGGGTTTGCTGGTCCACGCGGAAAGATTTTAAATCATTAATTTTCCATTTGGGTATCTGCTTACTTCGCTTTAGGCATCTGTGCCAGCAACCATCTCTCTGGTGCTTCTTTTCCTCATCTGGAGCCGGCTATACAATTCTAGGGCCGAAATGTGAAGAATTTCGATCTCAAAATGGTGGGCAGAAGATGGCCAGCCAGCACGAAGGAGATGAGCCGCATGGGTGTGCTCTTTGCTAGACTGCACATGTCTCCTCAAAACTTGCTGACTTTGCAGGTGTGCTGGACAATCTTTGAAACGTATTAGTGAGCTGAGAGGTAGCTTTCACATGGATAGTTGGATTTCAAAGGTGCTGTGAATATCCAAGGGGAAAATGGTTCCTCTCTACAGTACGCCAGGGGTTGATTTGCCTTAGAAAAGTAGGGATGGACATTGAAAGTCAACGGAAAATGTGAAAGGTAAGGTGAAAATGGGGGCATTTGCCCTACCAAGGATTAAGTTACACGGTGATGCACTCCGAGGATTTGAGATTTTCGGCCGTTTTCATCGTCGAAAGGTGTTTTCAGACAGCTAATGATGAAGCTATGGATAGACTATCGATTTTAGGTGTCTGTCACGACAAACGTGTAGAATGCCTCCAGGGCAGAAATTCAACTGAGAACAAGTATTGAAGCTCTCTGAATCGCCCGTCAACATATATTCCATACCTCGATTAGTGGTGGATACATTGTAAATGGTGACCAGAGTCTGCAAGGGGGCCAGCCCCAAACAATTTGCCTGTATG